TTCAAATGGATAAATCAGGGGGGTCCAAGCATCATACTATTTTCACATCACCCGTAAATGCTTTCAAAAAGCATGTAATGCAAACGTGAAAAAGCGACCAACCAATACCAACCATAGACCAGGTAGCCCAAAGCATGCACTGTTTTCAAAGTCCATGCACTCTCCATATGCAATGTCCACCTTGCAGCACCGATAGCCTTGATCTTGCCTGAGAAGGAAAACAGGATTTAACGCGGTTTATGCCAACCCCCAACAAAGCCCAGTCAGTTGCTTGTTAAGTTACCAGTACTTGGTAGCTTCAGCAGAACCTGCAAATAGCTCGAAATAATCTATGTGGGGCTCAAAGGAAAGGTTCTCCTGCCACAGAAGTAGTAAGACCTCAGGATGTTTCTGTCTTGTATGACTCCATACAAAAGCTTGGTAGTAAAAGGGCCCAGACGGTGGCAATCAACACCTGACATACATATATAAATCAAAAAGCGTTGGCGTATACTTGTTGGAATCATTGAACGTGGGTAAATAATCTATGCATGGCCTTTGGTGCTTGAACGCGAAGAAGACGTTGCACGATCGAACTTTCCATGGCTAGCTGCTGTGACTTCAAACCCACGTGACTTGACCCCATCAACTGCATGTCTCAAACAGTGCAGTGCCAATCAAACAAGTCAGCTTTCCTTGCACAAACACTTGCAACCTAAATAGGTGTACACACAGAAATTGATGCGCAAGCGTTTGGGGGAGTCGGTCCACGACACCTTGAAGCACAGCCCGAGCAAGCCAGGCATCATTGGTCGGCATATCTTCAACACCTGGCTGTCACGGTCGTGCACATCAGACTATATATATATATGCGTGAAGATCAATCGAACTACTATCTAGTCTTAAGGCTTGCAACCGCTGCCTTGACAAAGCGCTTGCCTTTGCAACTGAACCACTTGCCAATACATAAACAACTGCACAGATGCCCGATGCACCACTTTTCCACCTCACTGCGTGCCAGGATAATCACGAAAGAATCATACGGCCCGGCTTGCAAAGATGACCCGCTTTCAGGCGATAAAGCAGGATTAGGACACTGCAGTCAATGCACGGACAACCCCACGCAGCTATGTAAAAACTGCATCCCAACTGTCTCAGTGCAAAAGACAGGTATCAAAGAATTAGGCCCTCTCACACAGAATCCTCTTCAGACAGCCAGCGAATATGCCTAAGTTGTTTGGTAAGCCACGCCCTAGCACACATATATTACACACATTACACGCAGAGCATGTTGCAGCACATCTTGACAATACTTGCCACCAAAGAACCTGTCTAGCACGCTTCCTTGCTTCAATCTCCCCATGGACTTCCAGATTCTCTCTATAAGACTTCTGGTACGCGCAAGACTTCCTACTGCGTAAAGCCTTCTGCTCGTCTGTAGGTCCCTTACGCTTCTTGGAATTGTCAGCCTTGTGTTTCTTGGGCAGTTCCTCAGGGTCTTCCTCAGGTTTGGCTTCACCGCCACGGGGACCTTTGGAAGAGCCTGAGGGTTTGGAGCTTGCTGTTCTGCGTCTCTTGCTTGCTGTCTCCTTGGACTCCTCTTTTGGTCGTGTTGTTTCACTCAGCTGGTGGTCATCTAGATTGCTTCTCTTCTGTGTGGTTTCCTTTGCTTTGGCTTTTGGTGCGGTGGCCCTTCGCGGTTTGTGGGCAGGCTTTGCATCCTTTGCAGGCCTTGCTTTGGATTTGGCTGCTTTTGTCTTTGCTTTTGATTTAGCAGACACTGACATCTTGCCCTTGCTCAATTCTTCAGGTTTCTCAGATCTGTCTTCGTCATCTTCTTCGTTGTATTCCTCATCATCTCCACTCTCTTCCTCACGCTCTTCCTCACTCTCGGCACCTTCATCATGCTCATGTTTTGCTTTTGTTTTCCGTCCCCTTCCCCTACCCTTCCCTCTTCCCCTGGGTCGGCCCCTTGCCCGCCCACGGTTGCTTCCGGTCAGCTTGACTTGGTCCTGAGGGCTGATATGCTTTACCTCCTTCATGATCTTGAAGGCAGCAGCCTGCAGGAATTATCCCAAAACATGGAGACAATGGACACAGATATGCACACACATTCAACAACATATGCACACAAATACGCATCCTGTAAGATATACGTGATATTGGTGGACTGCAGAGCCTCAGCCCCACAATCGGCAGGTGGAAGATCAACCGCTGCCGCTTCCGCTTTGAAAGGAGGCGAAGGCATCTTGACCTGGGGATCCTGGGCATCCTGGTCCACAGGTTCTGGCTGGGGCAGGGGAACATCAGGAGATTGGAATTCATCTACCAATGGGGGCGAAGGCATCTTGACCTGGGGATCATCCTGCTCCACAGGTTCTGGCTGGGGCAGGGGAACATCAGTAGATTGGACTTCATCTACCAATGGGGGCGAAGGCATCTTGACCTGGGGATCCTGGGCATCCTGCTCCACAGGTTCTGGCTGGGTCAGGGGAACATTAGTAGATTGGACTTCACGCTTGCTCTCAGGATCTTTCTCGGTGGGACCGGTGCCTCCATGAGAAACAGCTTCAGTGCCAGGGGGATCAACAGTGTGTTGAAAAGCCTCAGCGAGTCCAAACTCTGGAGATTCCATGGTGAGCTTCTTCATGTCGTCAGCTAGGACTTCCATGACATCATGGTTCAGAGGGCAGGTGTCGACGACATCCATACCTTAGCAAGATTTACGGGGCAAGCAGATTATATCTAACGATTAGTGACCATGACAACTGGATCTTATATGATATCATCTGTTTTTCTTTTTGCGAAAATGGTGCTCATGTGGAGTGACGCCTGCTTCCCCTTACTCAGCTGTTCAATAGCGCTCTTCTGTGCCATCAAAGTAGTGAGATTCTGTAGTTCGTTTTCCAACTCTTGCAAGGCCCGAATTTCAGCCAGCCTCGGATCAGCCCCTTTCTCTCCAGACATCACCGAAGAAGATGAGCGCAAGCGTTCCATGAAGCCTCAATAGAAAGGAATCCCAGGTCCCACGTTTGTATTATGTTTGCTTTTCTTGTAGTGCAGATGTCCGCCAACTGTCAAATCTCATGGAGGCCGAGCAGCGCTTCGGAGGAGGTGTCACCAATTCCTCTGCCAGCAAGGGGCCTCAGAGACAATAAGGGCCATGGATCCGCAGTTTGATGCATAGTTTTTGTCTGAAAATTTACAACATGAAACATCTGGGGGCTTCACAAGGAGTAGCTGCTGGAGTGGGAGTTGGTGACTTTTCCTGTTGCAATGGTGCTTGATCATCCTGCCAACCAAAACGATCAGATGCGAAGTCAGTGGGAACAGTGTTGCTTGTTTCTTGCTTTCTTTCAATACGTATGTATAGCCCGGTACATGCAAATACTATTAAGCCACCAAAGTCCTGACCACTAGAAGACAGAGCAGATTGCCCACGCGGCTCTGGCTCACTGGGCAGCTGCTCAGCTTCATCATCAAGACCTTCCACGGGCTCTTCCATGTGATCACCATCACCTGTCATCTCCTTCCCATCATCTCCTCCCTCCTTAGCGTCATCTTCATCATTCAAGCCTTCAACCTCTTCTTCACAAACCTCTCCTACCTCTTCAACCTCCTCATCATCATCGTATTCCTCCTCTTCCCCACCTTCTCCTCCTCCTTCTCCCTCCTCACCCTCCCAACCATCATCAGCAGCAGTGGCAGTACTTCCAGATTCAGATCCTTAATTGCATGACGCCATACACACTTGCATATGCATGGAGCTACATACATACAATCACAACAATTACACACATTCTTTGTCAAAGTTCTCTCAGGAATAGGAGTGTCAGCAGCCTCAAAGAGCAGTTTTTGACCCGCCGAGCGCGGACAAGACCCTCTCTTCGCCCACCGACTCCAGTTTGTGACAATCCGGCGGATGTACCAGGCAGTAGTTTGGACTGTGCAACCTTGCGAAACCAATAGCACATTCAGAGCAGCTATATACAGTTCAGGTCATTCAAGCACATATGCATACTTATCTGAAGATTACTTCACAGCTAGCTTTTGAGATGTTTTGAGACACGTTACTTGAAGCTCTTTTCTTCCCATACGGTTTGCAACATGCAAACATACGTTCAACGGTCTCCTTCACGACTTCGATGCTTGGCTTCAGCCCTGAGCTTGGACACGGTAAGTGCATGACTTAGAATCTAGTAGCACTAGCCTCTTGTATTGTGTTAGTAGGCTTTTAGTCTGCAGGCAAAGATCCCAAATGCTTCATGACTGGGGCCAGGAGTATGTTATGGGCTTCTGCAGCACTGACTGTAACCCCAAGTTCAATGGTCACTAGCTGCTGGACTGCAGCACGCTGTACCAGAACATCATGCGCCAGCCACTCCTTGAGAACTGGCCCAACGTCCACCACCATGGCCACAACTTAAGCTAAGCTGATGAACCAAAGAGGGCTCAAGGCAAGAAAACCAAAATGCAGGCACTCAAGTTGAAACACCCTCAGAGTGCAAAAAGCAGTGCTTTGCCGATGAAAAACATGCCAATGGCACCTCACAGCTTTGGCAGCGGGATGGCCCAAAGCATGAATCGAAGTCTAAAGGATAAACAGCGCAGAAAGATATGTGGATATATGTATGTATGCATCCATGTGTATTCGAAGCTTTGCAAGTTGTGTCCTGCACTGAATCGTTTCCTGTGATCACGTGCCCAGGTGTGCCGCTGGAGCCACCCGCGTATGGCCCGTGCACATCCACACATCACGGGCATCGAAGAGAGGTTTGGACATATGGACAGAATCTTAGGGATCCAAATAGCCTCAAGAGATCTCAAGAGCTACTTTTTGGAAAAGTGCTCATTTCCAGAAAATCCTCCAAAAAGTGTTATCTTCATAAGTTAATGCTCAATTCATCAAAAACTTCACCAAAGCATGGTTTGCCAGAAATAAGTGCTACAAAGGAGGGTTCAGGTAAAGTTTGACCCTGTCCTTTCCGGGATCACCCCCATCGACACACCTCCCTTGGCACCTCCTTCCATCCAATAGGTGTCCATTGGCGGCCCCGTGGCATCATCACTCTCACTCTCGGATGCGTCGTCCAGCGAGTGCAGGGACGAAAAAAGGGGCATCTCACTGTGCACCTGGACGTCTTGAGCTTTCTTGGTACAAGAGGATGTGAGATTGACAGGATGTGGCCGGGGGATGGCAGGGGTGTGGTGACCCTAAACATACCCTAACGACAACCACAGCGGTTAGTCCCAAAACGGTTGTTTCTACTCCAATCATGACCCAGCTTCGTGTGCTCCATTGAGGCGCCAAATGGATCCAAAATCGGTTTGATTCATTTGGATCCATTTGGATCCATTCAAACCATTTGGATCCATTCAAACCAAATGGATTCAAAATGGTTTGATTCCCAAGTACTCCAAACAAACCCAGATTCAGCGGCCTCAGCGGCCTCCAAACGTTGGCTCGCGGCCGGGCCTACACAGGTGGGCCCAGCCGCCGCAACTCGGCGGGCGCGCGCAGGGTGCCGGCAAGCACCTGCCCCAGGGTGCCGTCGAAAAGGAAAGGGTCACTGGGGAAGCTGCTTTCCTCTTGTTCTTAAGCCATGAAATGCATGATCCAATGTATGAAATCCATGTCTATGGGTGATTTGGGAGCTATCAAAAAAACGGTCGGAGCATCGCAAAAGCCAACCCCAGCGCATTTGGGAATGGTTTTGTTATTGAATATTGTTGAAGCAGGAATTGCATATGAATGCACTTGCACCATGCCTGACCACAAAATCACATGGCACATGCAGCCCACCTGCACCACGGCTCAGCACCTCCACCCATCGACCAACGACACCCCTCCATGGGAAGGCTGGGTTTGTGGCGTGCACCAGGTATGTTGCCTTGCTTCCGCTCAAGCTGGGTGAAGCATCAAGCTCAAGAGCTGAGAATCAGCTGTGTGTTCAGGGCATCGAGAAGTCAATTTTGGCCAAGAGTCAACAGTCAGACCTCAATCGCGACGTTGCGTGAAATGGTTTCCACTCATCTTTTTTCTGCGTCTGACTGGGAATGGAACTGGGATGTGGCAACGAAACCACGTTCTTTTGCGCGATTCTTAGGATGCCGGAGCCGCAGCGTTGGACGACGTTGGATGTGGATGACACACATCAGTTTAAGTTATCTGCACTATGAAAGAAATTGGATGAGGTTATCCTTCAAGAACGCCAAGGGAAGGGCTGAACTTTTCGTCAAGGTATCGGATAGTTTAAGTTGACTACTTCACGGTTAAGATCTTTGTGAGTGCTTCAGGTTTTTAAAACTTTAGGCAAAATTCTTGTGCCTCAAGATCGGGCTCCATGTCCTTCCCCGAGTGGGAATCACAATCTCACCTAACAGCCTCACTGTACATGGACAGCATGTCTCCTAACAACATCACCCTTTGCCAGCAGGTGACATCAACCTCCGGGAGGGTGTCAAAAGCTATCTGTTCAATAAGCAACCCATTGCATCTTCTGCACTGCCAACTGCCAACAAGGGCTTATCATGTTGCATCTGTTGTGGTCGATATCACTACGAAGCTCCTCTCCTTCGCACGATCAACAGACTCGCTCAAGCCCACGGCATGCTCAAAATCCACCACTCACATGCTCTTGTCAGGGGTTTTACTGTCAAGGTAATATCCTAATGACCCAACCTTAGAATTACTGGTGGGACTATCCTCTTTGATAACTGAATCCCTCTACAATCAACGGCCGATGGACTTTGCCGTGCCATTCCTTGGCGCACTGCACAGCTGCCTCGTGTCTTTCAGATAGAATCAGGGAACAAAATGCCACTGCCAAGCTCTGAAGCGAAGGCAAATCCATCCACGGTTGGAGTCTTAGCTTTAAGCCTTTAAGACCAAGTCTTTTTGCATTCCTTGGCAGCTCAACCTCTTCTTCACACTCCCCGCCATGTTGGTGGCCGCACGCGCGCACCCTGTCGGCCACGGGGAACTCGCGCAAAGAATGCCGTTGATTCTCATCAAGCCATGTTCCCTTCCGACAACCGCACAGCCAAATGGGAAATCCCAGTGGCGACACAAGCAATGCAAGTGTCTCCAGTCAAGAGTGGCTCTGAGAATGGTGGATAGGGGAGATTGGGGAGCACCTTGGCCAAGCACCTTCACTCACGTGGTACCTTGACCTTGTTTCTGGCCCCCGAAAGTGGGTTTTTGACTGTCCAAGCCAGTCTGACAAAAACTGGATCCATTCATTGAAAAAACGAAACTGTCTGAGCTTTAATGTGTAGACCCTCTTGGAAAGGGCCTTCTTCGTCTCATCCTTTCACAACTTCTCATCCTTTCAAAGCAACATCCACAATTCCCATGAGCTGCCTTAACGGAGTCTTGGCCTATTCCGCAGCTGGGAATTTCTGATCAACACTTGTCGACGACTAGCTGAGCCTGTCCCTGAAAGGCAGGCAGGCTTAGTCTAGATGACTTTGAGAGTCTTTCTCAAACTGCAGCTCTCAAATCCGTGTCTTGCATGCCTGTATCTGACCTCACGCAAACAGCTCGACCACGGCGCCCTGGCCGTGTCAAAACATATGTTGCTCTGCCAAAAATGACTCAGCAGGAGTTGCTCTTGTCTTCACGGTTGCTAAAGTGAATTGCCAGCAAAAAGCTTTGGAAGGAGCCAGCCTTCATCGGTGCGACTCCAACAACCTTCCATCCAAAAACTCCTTATCAAGCCACAACTTCAAGCCAAGGCACTTGGAACTTGGTGCCATTTGACACATGCACAGCCTACACACAACCTGGCAGCACTTGCGGGAGTGCTATTTTTTTCAGGTGACTGTCCAGGCTAAGTCTGTTTTACGGAACCTGTGACGGAACCGGAGGTGCCTTCAGCACCCCCGCGCCGCGGAGGTCTTCCGAGTCTTCGGGCAAAAGAGCCGCCGCCGTTCCGGTGGCTTTAAAGGACTCCTACCCAGGAGGCCCAGGAGTCACATGTCGGGGTGAGTGGGTCATGGGCACCCCGACTACCTCCATGAAGCATCCCTAACCTCTCTTAAGCAGCTGTGCTCCGGCACAAGCGCCAACTCCCAAAGCTACGCCGTACCGCCTTTGTTCTGAGGGCAATCTGGTGATAATAGATATAATAGATCCTTGGGAGCACCTCTTGCAAGCCACTGTTTGGGGTGACTCCTGGCTAGGAGATCTGCCCACTTCCAAGCTCACTGGGGCCTCTTTGGAACAACAGCTCAACAGTGCTTGCAAGGCTCAGGTGATGGGCGCCAACACCAAGTCACACCCCCACATCCGCAATCAACGGGTGGAGCTTCTGGGTCAATTGATTAGTAGCCTTTCTTTTGCTGGACTCCCGTTGGGATGGCCATGATTTTACCAAGAGTATCTCACAAACCACCACTCGGCTCCACCTGCCCTAGAGTTCACTAAGGTCCTGCTAAATCCACAAAAACACATCGAGCAGCTCAACCAGAGCCCGTCTACCCTTCCTCTCGCCCTCCACGCTTTGGGTGCAACGAAGCCACCGAGACGGCTGACCCAGGTACGTCTGCGCTTCGGCACGTCGCGAAGCAACGGGAGGCGGAACAAACATGCTGATGGGAGTTTGGTCCGATCGGCGATTGGAGTCAACATCAGGCTATATGCACAAGGATGTTGCTTGTGTATCTTATTCTTACTAATTAGGGTATCTTCTCAACAGCAGGGCATTCTAGCATGAGACCATGGCAGTTCCTGCGTTCCTAAATCACAGACACACCTAAATCACAGGCAGCTGTGGCCTTTTGGAGTCTGAGTACTTAAGCATATATCGTTCACATCTCAGTACGGCCCCACAGCGCTACGACGGCGGACCCCCAACCCGACCTGGTGAGGCGGTGAGCCAGTGACCGTTCCCACGACGTGAGCACACCGTCGTCATCGCACGGACCGGCGCACGGGGGAGGCCTACCGCCGTCATCGTGGCGTGACGCCGGGACCTTCACACGGCGGTATGAGGTGTTCACAAGGCGTGATGGCGGTCGACATGTTCATTCTTACCAACTATTTCTCGCACCTCGGAGGGCGTCTCTCGACGGCGACGAGTGGATCTGTGTTGAGCAGGTCAACTCATCTCATCAGCTTTACCCAAACTCACTGTCAAAGGCTTGGAAGGATGGGGTTTATATCTCAAGCTGCCAATAGCTCCGGCATGTTGCTCGGAAAGGCTTCTTTCAAGAACAGCAATGGTGGTAGCACCATCATCGGATTCAAGTTCATTCTGCCAAGTCTAATTCGCCACACCTGGTGGTCTTAATCTGCAAAATCGATTCGCTCTCTTCGCTCCACAGGGACTTCCACCGGCCGAAGGTCCCTGAAGCGCTGCACCTTCACCGCGGCACCTTCACCGTTCCAACTCCCTCGACCTCGCTGCGGTCGACCTCCGCGGAGGTCGCAGCACGGCAAAGCTCGGCCAGGGCCGCCACGAAGAGGGCGGTCCCGCCGTGTGCGGCTCCGCCAGCGGAGCGGGGCTGACAGCAGGACGCAGCTGGTCTCCCAAGGAAGGGGAGCATGTAGGGATTCATGGGATTGGACTCTTTTAATCTAAGTTCGTGCAGTCTTGGTGCTTGGAACGCACCGTCCAATCCATTGTGGCTTCGGCGCTGACAGTCCCATCCCTTCAAGTCCGGGCTCGGTACGGCCTGTACGGCCTGGGAAAAGAGAGAGCTGACAGTCCTGTTCGAATCACTGGGCTCAACCAACTGGGGCTTGGAAAAACAACACTTCTCTTGGATGAAAGCTCCATACAGCTGCCCATGTGCAGCTCTTGTGGGGCGCGGTTTTCAACCGCCCCTGCATCTCAGGTGGTGCATCTTTTGAGACATCAGCTCCAGCAACTTCAGGTGCAATGTCTCGCACCGACCCCGACCGAAAGTACTGGAGATCTTACACAGCCCTCCGGGTGCGGGACTCGGACCTTAAGATCTCCACCGTTCGTCAGCGAGTCGTCCAAACCAGGCCACTCTCTGCCGTGTGGTTCACGATTGGCGGCACGACTCGGCGACGATCAGTCGACTGGCGACGGTGCAGAAGGCCAGGACGCACATCACATGTGTTGAATCAATGAAGGCCTTGTCGCTTGGCATGGTTGAAGATGATCTTCACACCATGCGGACAAGTGCGTCCCATGCATGATCATTGCCAAAAAGGCTTGGCTCTTGCAACACGGTTTCACGAGACAGGTTGCGTTGAAACTTTTTGCCGTACCACACCAAGTCAATCACAACCTTTGTAGAATCTCAAAGTCTCTTTCAGGCCACAAAACCCACAGGCACTGTCACGCAAAAAACGAGGGCAAATTCTGCTCCGGCGATTTCTCTGTGGGTAACTATGTGCTACACGGCCAGCAACCCGGCACCATGAATGTGGCTGCAGGCTGCAGGGCAATGCGACAGGCTCTGCATTTGTATTGACGTGTTGGTGATGTTTAGATCCAGCCGCTCCTAGCTGCACCAGGGCTGTGATTTTTTACGATTGCTTAGAGAAGAAATGACTCAGCTCCACCGCAAATGCTTTTCGCTAAGGAGCGGTCACCACGCTTTCGTCTGGGGAAGCTCATTATGCCTGGGACCCTTTCACTGGCTAAAGTGGCAGACCTGCGACCAAACAAAACACGCAGCAAGCAAAAGAGGATTCTACTCACACGCTCTCCTCATTCCAATTTCGGCAGTGTCAACCAAGAACAGCGCCAGGTTCCCTCTGGACCCTTTTCGGTGAGGCCATTGTTCGACCCACCCAACGGTGGACTGGACTTTCCGCTTTCAAATCAAGGCAGCGGGACTAAGTAACAAGGCCCCCGGTCAAAAATAGAAACCTGTTCAAGGGGGTCGGCCTTTCTGCAAGGAGGTCTTGCCCTAAGGAGGTCGGTTTGACCCAAAGAGGTCGGTAAATGGTGACTTGATGAACTCCATGAGCATTGATCGAAAGCCATTGCACAGACTGAGCTTCCATGCCCTTGAGTAGAACATAAAGGGTCTAAATCAAAGTTCTTTTGTTGCCATCTCACTGAATTCCTGCGGAGGTGACTTAGTCTAGCTCTAGGAATGATTATATAAGAGTTCCGAACTTAACAAGGTCAACTGCATCTTTGGCTGTGAAAACCATCTCAAGGCGATCAACACCGGCTGTGGACGATGATGGACTAGGTGACTAGCACAGGGTCTTGACTGTGTGGCACCGACACAGTCAATGCGGCGTACTGGTGAAGCAATGTGCTTGCTGAGCACTTGGTTGTGGCATGGGTCTCCATTGTAGCTAGTTGCACAAGGACCAAAAAACCCTTAACTCTTGACCCTCTGGGGTGACACATGCATGTCCAAACGCATAATTTGTTTTCAACATTTGCCACAACTTCAATCTAGGTGCCACGACGGCGCGTCTGCTTCAAAACTCCACGAAACCGTGCCTTCCGGTCACGCGTGAGGTGGATATTTTGAAGCACTCTGTGGTCCGTGGATGTTCGCCTCATCCACGTGACTGGCACCATGTTTTTCGGATGACGGCCACTGGTGCAGAATGAACCCTGACATGCAACTCGACTGGTGGGAGCATGAAATCCGACTGGATGGAGGGATAGAGTGAGGATGGACCTCACATTTGTCTCACGTCAAGCCTCACCGGAAAGGTCTGTGGAAGGGTCTTCGTTGCGTGGCCTGCTTAAGCCGCCCGTGTAGGCAAGGCTCGTGCAGCTGGGGCAACTTCAACCGCCAATGACATGTCTGACGAATGCATAGAGAAGCTCCCCGTGACACATTCAAGAACAAAAGAGCCTTCTTTACAAGACTTATGTTTTATTAGACATTCTGGACAATATTAGGGTTTTTGCAAGGTTTGTCACTGTCAGAGTACACACTTTTGCCAGGCCTGTCTCATTTATCTCAGCTCATTTCCGGCACCAGCCTCGCATGAGAGCAGCCATGCGACTTGGCTAAGCCCAAGTCGGTGAGCTCAAAGAGCCAAGGCGCCGTTCGAAGCTGCCGAAGCTTCAACTCATGCGGATCTAGAAGGTCTGCAGCTTGGAACACCCCAGCTACGCACATCGAACCAAAACGTTCTTGGTGGCATTGAATTCTTCCCTGCATCCCCAAACTCTTGTGCAAATCGAGCTGATGGATGCATCTCCCCCACTTCGTCTTCGCCACCTCTGCTGGTGGCCTCCTCCCTGGACCCCTTCTTCCACTTCCGATCCGTCCCCCCCGACGAACACGTGCGCCCCTCACGGAAAAACCCGTCTCCTCACGTGACGGGAAACCGGCGGCTCAGCGAGAGAGTGAAGCCCGGCTTGTTCGGTCCGATCGGTGCAGCTGGCCATCTTCAAGACATGCAGTGGAAGGCAGGACATCTTTTGCTTGGGCTTTGAGGCTCCAACATCATGCGACATGTCACACCAGGGAATAGGGCGGCTGCTGAGACCTGCCTAGACCCTTGCCAGACCCGCGCCGCCCCATGAAGAGGCGGAAGAGGTACATCTTCCTCCGGGGTGGCTTTTTGGGCCCAAGACTGGTAACTGGTTGGACTGCCTTCCTTACTGCACCTTATGACACCTTAGACTCTTAGACTCCCCGTGGGGCGGAACAATGGCACAAACATTCCAGATGGTCCCCATGTTTTAAGATCACAGCAAAACAGGGAAGCGGGGCAAGGGGTCCAAAAATCACAAAGAACAAGATCACACATCAGAATCCTAGCACCAGTGTTTCAGTATCACTGCCTCTCCTGGTCTTTAAGCTCCATCTCAGAAATCTCCAAGCTTCAAAGGCTGCACCTTGATGAATCGCCTGAGTGGTCAAAGGATCAAAGTTCATGGCCATCGAGTCTGGTAGAGCACCACATCTACAAGAAAAACACCAGCCCAGGATTTCATGGCTAGGGTAATGTCAGTCAGGTAACTGTTGGCTTGCCCTTCCTAGCTCTTCCTATTTGGGGGTGTGATGGGTTCACTTTGACTTGTCTTCACGAACATCATCGAACATCCAACACAACATTTACGGGGCCACTTTAGGCACACTGCGACACACCCCAGGAAGCGACAGGAGGTTCATTGAGCCCCATGGCAGAGGTCATCCTAATGTTCAGTGGCCCTTTCGATGAAACCCATTGACATATATACATATTATAGTATACATGTATCAACTATTAACTGTCATTATGTGTCACTATGATGTATTAGCACCACCCACCACTCCGCCAAGCTGCTCCACGGCTGCTCCGCGTCGTGCGAGCGTAGAGTCGGTCCCGTGAGGTCGAGCATGAGGCCGTCGATGTCATGGGCACTGCGGTGATGGCCATGGGCACTGCGGATCTTGGCCACCACGAATTGGAAAAGCAAGGATGGTCAGAAGTCTAGAGTTTCCTGAAGCTGTGCAAGATTTTGGACTCGGGACTTGGGCAAGGATGGTCAGAAGTGGTAGCCAGGTCCAGCCATTTAGACTGCATGGCCGGGTAGAAGTGCACGAGTCCGAGAAGAACAAGCCGGGGATACTTGACCACCTCAGCCCACGCAGGGATGACTTGAAGGTCTTGTCGCACTTCCTTACCTTTTAAGTTGTGACAAAGAAATAACCAACAAAACTCCCCTGCATCGCTTCATAACAGTTTGCAACCTAAGTCCCAACAACCTCATGACTGTTAGCCGCTAGCCTTTTTCACTGCCGCAGTTTATATATATATATATATGTAGAGGCTAAGCCGGCCTTGGCTGGTATCTACATGAACAACAGCCGACATCACATGAAGATTCCATGTCCCATACCTGTTCATGGATCATACCAAATCCCAAACCACCTTGACACCACATGGATGTCCATATTGACCATTAGATTTAGATCCATTTGGGACTTGTCCAGCGAATATGGGCGCCTTCGAACCCGACCTATCCTGAAGCGACCCCTATCCACGCCCACTCTCCAGTCAAGCCACTCCTTCCAAATAAGCCATACACCTCGCATTTGCGACCTAGACCCGCGCTGTTGAGCCACCACGCGTGGCCGCTCTGGAACAGCACAACGCTGCCCTGGCTCACCCCTTGCACAATCTGGACGCACCAATCCTTCTGACATGGACACACGAACCGACAGGTCCCCAACTTTGGGGACCTCTTTGCCTCACTAATCCGGCCGCCCGAACATCAGGACCGGTCAAAGTGAACGCTCCTGGTCCCCTCACAGTCCGGTCCCGCTCCTCCGAAAGCACCGGTCCGGTGATCGGACCGGTCGGACGTGAAGAGGTCAGCTTTGATCACTCAGGGGGCGATCAAGCGAAGCTGAAAAGCGCCGGGATCTGAGACGTCCGGTGCCCAGCTGGCCGCAGAGTTGGCTTGGATGGAGAAAACCGCATGCAAAGGAAGGACATCATGAAGATTTTGGTGCGTCCAAACCCCCTATCTGCTTCTAGGGGCTGAGGAGTGTTGCTCAGGGCGGCAGTGGAGTTGTGCACGCGCACGTGGGAGCATGGCAGGCTTCAGTCAGATCAATTGAGTCCAAAAGGGCACACCTTCGACCACGAGGGCAGCATCATCGTTGCAAGCTTCCATGCTGGTGTCCAGCTGGCAAGTCTTGACCCAAGTGAACATGTGATCTATCAAACACCTGAAAGGACTTCTACACGTCAACGGACTTCAACTGGTCGGACATCAACTGGCACCATAGAAACAACTTGCAGGCGTTGCAGGGGCCAGATCGATGAACTTTAAGCGCCCATCGCACTCCCTGAAAGGTCCTCATGGTTACGTGGATGGCATGGCCGCTTGGATGACCATGAACTCCTCTACAAACAGGTGGTGACCTCCACTTCCATGTGATGCGTTCATTGGAGTGTAGCTCAATCCTGGGGCGAATTTGCTCGGGCCTTGCATCTGGGTGAATATTCAAATGATCCCAGCAGGGATCACAATGATTGAACTCCGTCTCACACACGCCCTCAAACAACACAGCAACATCATAGACCCAGGCACCTGTTTAATGTTCTGTGCCTCTACAAGGTGTCTGCTGGGTGGGTTCATCGAGGCGTGGCTTAGGGGTACTTCACACCTGTGCGAACGGACAGGACTGAAGAAGCTTCTCACAAGCTAAGCGAGCACTTGAGCTTGGAGTTTGCAGGCTGTCGAACTTCCGACTGGTGGCACCTTCCAGAAGAAGTGAACATCACCGCAAGGAGATTGAGAATGAAGCACCAACCATCTCTTGAATTGGTGGAAGGCCACAAAGCTCCAGATCTGATGTCAATGAAGCCAATGACTCAATGAAGCAAATGGACGTCCAGCTCTTCAGAGACAAGCCTCCGCATGTTTTGGGATTGACTACTCATAACCTCCATCTGCAAAACTGTTTGCCAGCCCATCTAATCAGACAAAGAATGCAGTTTCTGGCAGCTCTAGCAGGAAGTCTATGTTGAGAGGTCAACTGAGGTCACCCAAACAAGCCTTTATCTT